AGAAAAGCTATGTTTGTCTTATATCTAGCTACATTAGGATATCCTCATATTAATTACAACATCTTTTCTACTTATTCTTTTGTATTTTTTAGTAGCTATATTAACTAGGAATTTTTAATTTAATTTTTTTAAAAAAGGCAAATCTGCCTTAAACAAAAAGCAAATGTATTTGCTCTCAGAAAGGAAAATCCAGAGGAAAGACTGACATTAGGAAAACATAGTTTTCCTCCACATCACTCCGTGGCCTTTGAATCTATAAGATTCATTCTCAGGCTACATGCACTTGGTCATGGCCATCACCAAATGACCGAAGGGCATGGAGTGTTTTAATTGGCTAGGCCTGGGTCACAGGCTTGACTCCTTTCACTGAAAGAGGAGTTCCATCCAGATTATATGGATGGAGCACGGCTATATGAAGGAATGGATATTCAAGTGAAATTGGTGAGGAAGAAGAAGCATCAGATGCTGGAGAGCCAATAGACATTCAATATGGAGACAATTAAAACATCTGAAAATAGTGGTGGTGTTGCCTCTTCATTTCTCATATTTATGCTACTTGCTACTCGTTTTTTTTCTTATTGCATTGTATAGGATGTTCAGAACTAAGCTGAAAAATTGTAGCACTAGCATTCCCTGACTTTATTGGTATTTTACCATTTCGGATAAAGTTATCTGGATAAAGTTTGATACTCTTTACTAAGTAAGAAAATACCATTCTAGGTCAAGCTGATTGAAAATTTTTAATTAAAAATGAATGTTGAGGGAGAGAGATCCAAGATGGCTGATCACTAGCAGCTCGGGATTGTAGCTCCCAGTGAAAGTGCAGAGAACGAGAGGACGCCACACTTTCAGACGAATTTTTGTTGCTCATGGACCAGGAGATTCCTAGCGGAGGAGCCCTATGGGTTGCCAGCGCGACTCTTGTGGCCAGCGCGGCGGTTTTGCCGGTGCCAGGGCGTGGTGGTTCTTGGTGCAGAGTAAACAGGACTGGGTCCCCTTTTGGTCAATATTTGGAGCTCCAGGAAGGCAGAGTCACCTATTCAGCTGATTGAAAAAAGGGGCTCAAGAAGGAAGCCAGACCGGAGATTCCCGGGCAGAAAAGCACCATGAATCTTAACACCGCTGTTTTGGCCAGTGCAGTGGGTTGCTCAGATTCCAGCGCTGGGAATCAACAAGTTGGACGTCCACTCAGAGACCCAATTTGAAAGTCGGTAATTACAAAGATGACAGGTGGATAAATTTACAATGATGGAAGAAACCAGCATAAAAAGGCTGAGAATACCCAAAATCAGAATGCCTCTCCCTCTACAGAGGATCACAGTTCCTCATCAACAAGGGAACAAGGCCTGATGGAGAATGAGTGCATTCCATTAACAGATTTAGACTCCAGAAGGTGGATAATAAGAAACTTCTGTGCGTTAAAAAAAACATGTTCTAGCCCAATGTAAAGAAACTAAGAACCTTGAAAAAAGGTTTAACGAAATCCTAACAAGAATAGACAATGTAGAGAGGAATATAAGTGAGTTAATGGAACTAAAGAATACAATACAAGAACTCTGTGAAGTATGTACAGGTTTTAACAGTCAAATTGATCAAGCAGAAGAAAGGATATCAGAGGTCAAAGACCAACTTAATGAAATGAAACGAGAAGACAAGATTAGAGAAGAAAGAGTAAAAAGGAATGAGCAAAGTCTCCAAGAAATATGGGACTATGTGAAAAGACCTAATTTACGTTTGATAGGTGTACCTGAATGTCATGAAGAGAATGAATCCAAGCTGGAAAATATTCTTCAGGATATTATTCAGGAAAACTTTCCTAACCTAGTAAGGCAGGAAAATACTCAACTTCAGGTAATACAGAGAACACCACAAAGATATTCCTCAAGTAGAGCAAACCCAAGACACATAATCATTAGATTCACCAGGGCTGAAATAAAGGAGAAAATTCTAAGGGCAGCTACAGAGAAAGGCCAGGTTACCATAAAGGGAAGCCTATCAGACTCACAGCAGATCTCACAGCTGAAACCCTACAAACTAGAAGAGAGTGGGGGTCAATATTCAATATCCTCAAAGAAAAGAATTTTCAACCCAGAATCTCATATCTAGCCAAATTAAGCTTCATAAATGAAGGAAAAATAAAATTTTTCACGAACAAGTAAGCACTCAGGGATTTCATCACCACCAGGCCTGCCTTACAAGAGCTTCTGAAAGAAGCACTATACACAGAAAGAAACAACCAGTATCAGTCATCCCAAAAACTTACCAAAAGGTAAAGAGTATCTCCATAATGAAGACTCTATATCAGCTAATGGGCAAAATAGCCAGCTGGCATTAAATGACAATATTAAACTCACAAATATCAATATTAATCCTAAATTTCAATGGATTAAATGCCCCAATCAAAGACACAGGCAGACAAATTGAATAAAAAGTCAAAACCCATCAGTTTGCTGTATCCGGATCCATCTCATAAGCAAGGACACACAAAGACTCAAAACAAAGGGCTGGTGGAAGACTTACCAATCAAATGGAGAGCGAAAAAAAAAGAAAAGAAAACAGGAGTTATAACTCTCATCTCTGACAAAATAGACTTTAATAGTAACAAAGGCTAAAAGAAACAAAGAAGGACATTACATAATGGTAAAAGGATCAATGCAACAACAGGAATCAATGATCGTAAATATATATGCACCCAATATAGGAGCACCCAGATACATAAGACAAGTTCTTATGACTTATAAAGAGACTTGGACTCCTGCACAATAATAGTGGGAGACTTTGACACCACATTGTTAATATTCGACGGATCAACAGATAGAAAATTAACAGTGACATCTATGATTTGAACTCAGACCTGGAACAAGTAAACTCAGTGAATATTTATAGAATTCTTCACCCCAGGTCCACAGAACATACATTTTTCTCAGTATCATATTACACCTACGATAATGTGACCACATAATTGGAAGTAAATCACTCTTCAGCATTTGCATAGCATTTCACAGACTTAAATGAAATATTGGTTGGCTGTTTGTTATTTTCTTCCCTTATTCCTTCCTGTCTCTGCTGTTAAGCATAATTATCAGCATAAAAGAGGTTTTTAATACCTATTTTTAGATTGCATTCCAGCCTGGGCAATAGAGCAAGACTCCTGTTCTCTCTCCCCCTTTTTCTTTCTCTTTCTTTCTTTCAAAAAAAAAAAATGAATGTTGAATGAATGATGATGCATTTAATATCTTATTTGTGTAATATATTACATGAATAAATTTCTTAACATTGGACCATTTCCGAATTTCTGTGAATTGCTTTTATAATGTGGGGGAGAGTGAACAGACTTTTCTTTATAAGAAGCAATGAGCAAGTTGTGACATTTTTCCATTATGGGTGAGCTCCTTGTTAAAGGAGAGAAATGTGAGGAGCATCTATGGAGGGCATTTGTGAGCCAAGTTTGAGGATATGGCAGCTGGCTCTGTTTCAGACCCCGATTTTTGGTCTATTCCCTTCTAGGACATGAGCCACAGGTGGTAGCCATGTTAGAAGCAGGCACCCAGGATAGCCCAATCCACCAACTGCTTCTTCCACGTGACCTCTATTAGAATGGTCTTGGAGGTAACAGACAGGATTAAAGTCTGATGGAGGGGGAGAGGCACTCAGAAGACAGACAAGGACACTGGGACAGCTAGCCAGTGACTTGCTCACAGTTACACAGGTTTTGAGCCCAGGCAGTCTGCCTGCAAAGCCTGAGCTCTTAGCCTCACTACTATATTGCCTTGAGGGCTGATCCGTAATGCTCCCAATACAGACCAGAAATATGGTGAAAATGAAAGTTCAGGAAAAGAGGAACCAGTTTTCTTTTCTATGCCTATGTGTGAGGCTTCTTCTGGTACACAGAGACCTTTTCATCAGGACTGGCTACTTGATCCCCTGCTGTCCAAAAGGGTTCTCAAAGATGAAGGTCTCCTATTCTCATGCCACATCCATTTTTCTAAAGATGGAGAGATCTTAGGAAAAGAAAAATTTTATGGAAATCCTAGTCAGGCCTAGATTGGAAAGGATTAGTCCCATCGCAATGTTCATGCAACTACCAGTTCTGTGTTCAGAAACACCAGAATTGAGAGAAATGAATCAGAGTTGCTGGAAAGTCCACAGGACTTTAGTAATTTCTGAAAAGTCTGACTTATCTGACATATGATGAAGAGAGAGTGGGAAAATGTAGCACAAACTTTGGTAACAGCAAAAGCCAATGTTGGAAGCCCTTGGGTTAGCCATCTCTTCCTACCAGAGAACAGTGTAGATTTCATAGGACTGCCTAAGAGGAAAGCAACTCTTTTTCATATAAATAAGTATGCATCTTATTGTTGCATGCTTATGTAGTCCCTCTGTGTGCAAGGCAGCCCACCAGCTGCTTAGAATATAGTGATGAACACATGCCTGGTTTGACAGAGTGTAGAGTCTAGTGAAAGAGACAGTGGTTGAGAAAACAAATGTCAAATTCTCTTATGAAGGAACATAAAGAAAGAATGTGCTGTGGGAGAGGAGGAGAGAGGATACACACGTGGAGGTGTCAAGGGTGAGAAGAAGCCATCTCTGAATAGGGAGAGCAGCCACTACATAGGCAAATTCTTGGCAGCAGGAGAGGGTTTGGCTTCTCTGAGGAACTGGACGTCTCAACCATGTACAGGAGCAGCCTGCATAGGGACTACTTCTGTGGGAGGATGCTGAAGATGCATCAGGACCAAATCATGCAGGCCCTTTTTTGACCTTGTTAAGGAGGATGGATTTTATTCCAAGTCCAATGAGAACCCATAGAAAATGTTTTAGGCAGGTGAATAAAAAACATAATAAAAAAAAAATTGCTCAAACCTCTAGATCAAAGAGGGAAGCTTAGGAAATAGTGACACTAGTTAAAGCAAATCCCCGGTTGAAAAATTACAGAAGCTTGGACAAAATTGTGTCAATGGAAATGGAGAAAAGTAAATGAATTAGAGATGCACTTTGGAGGGAGAATCAGCAAAACCTGCTAATGATGTAGACATTGTGGGAAATGAGAAAGAGGGGAGAATCCACAATTAATCCCAGGCTTCTGGATGGTGTGACTTGCTGGGTGGTGACGCCCTAGAGAAGAAAGAGGTTGAAAGGTAGATATTGAGTTTCTGCATGTCTGAAGTAGAACTCTCTTCTCTAGAGCAACACACTAGGCCTCATCCATGGAGGACCCTAGTCTGATGGGGGTGGCATCAACCACCAAAGACTCTAAAGCACAGAACGGCCCTGGAAAACCCTGTCTACTACTCTTTGCCCAAGCCCCACAATAGCTGTTCTCCAACTGCCCCACAGGGCCCCCAAGCACCCCTCCCCCATTGTTCCATCTGGACAAAAGGATTCATTTGACCCTGGGAGTAACTCTTGGCCTCCTCTTGAGAACTGGCTCCCAGAAACCTTCTCCCGCTGTGTCAATCCTTTTCCTCTAAATGCTTCCCAGCTTTCCAGATGGTCTCCAGATACCCAGCACCCTCTTCCCTGGGTATGATCATCATTCCCAGGGTCAGTTCAGTCCCTTGGATCCCTCAAACTTGGGATAGTCATGAGTCCATCTGTCATCACCCACCCACAGGGGACTGAAGAGGGCAGAGAGCCAGGCCAGCGGGCAGAGCACAGCTGCATCTTCTTGCTTAAGCTCAACTCTTTTGGTTAACCTATGGGAGATCCTAGCTGGGAAGTCTACAAAAAAGAAAAAAAAAAGCAATAATTGCTAGTGTGAGCCTTCTACCCACACACGCCCCCTCCCCATCATCAAGTACATCTTGCTCATCATCCCAGACTTATCTCAAATGCCCCCTTCTTTGGGAGGCCTTCTTAATTCCCAGACAGATCCAGTCACTCTCTCTCCTCTACTTCCTTGACCCAACCACAGTGACAGCTCTGACCATGCTGTCCTGATCATGTAATGGCCTGGTTATTTGTCTTTCTTTCCCATTATATTGTACTGTTCATTATAGCTTCCACTAGCCACAGGGGACTGTTTAAAGTTAAATTAATTACAATTTAATAACACTAAAACTTCAATTCTTCAACTGCCCTAGGCACATTTTTAGATACTCAGTAGCTACATGTGGCTAGAGGCTCCCATGTTAGACAACACAGATTAAGAACATTTCCTTCATCACAGAAAGTTGAACATAACTGCATTAGACTAACGACTCCATGAAGACCAAACTGGCTCTTATTCATCTTTGTACCCTTGGCCCTTAGCATGGTACCTAGAACACAGAATATGCTAAATACATGGAGTGAGTGAGTAGAAGAGAGATTAAGTTCTGGATACTACATGTCCAGAGGAATACAGACAGCTCCATGAAGCATGTTCAAAAGTCAGGGACCAGGAGAAAATATAATGTCAAGAAGGGCAGAGAAGACAACTCCGCTTGGGCAGGATGGTCTTTATCTGTCCTGAGACACTAGAATGCCGATGCTGGTGCCCTCCAATGGCACCATTCTGTTGGTGCACAGCCACACAGGACTTTTCATTTATACCAGCCTCTCTTCCATGACACCTCTTTCACCTCTCTACCAATCTATGCCTCTCATTGTCTTTGAAGGCCCCTCAGAAGACTCTCCTGGTCAACTTCAGCTGGTCCCACTCTCCATGGTCTACCCAGCTCCCCACGGCATAGTTTTGAGGCACTCCATCTGGCTGCTGCGGTCACTGTTCATTCTGTGTTCCTGTGCAAACATCTCATGTCCACGAGTCCTCTCTTCTTTAGGCTGAGCAGTGGATCCACAGAGGTGAGGTTCCCTGAGACCCAGCTCACCAGGGACAGAAATGTATTTTCCTGATAGAGGTTTCCCAAAGGCTAGTGTCTGTTTTCTCATAAGGCAAAAAGGCTTACAAGGCAAGGGCCGTAGGTCTGACCTTGTGGAATCAAACCTGCCAAAGTCTTTTCTACCATAGCAGACACTTGAGAAAGCTTAAGATGACACTGTTTCTATTCTACAACCTCAAGTGAATTTTATGCAACAGTTTTTCCTCAGGCCAAGTGGCTGGGGTCTGGGTGAAGTGAGGAGCATAGGCCCGAATCCTGAGATTTTTGAAGAGGCGGAATGTCCCGTCCTCCACTGCCTCGTTGTTCTGTTTTCCTGTATCAGCTTCTGTGTGAGCACTTTGAGCCTCGTCAGCTTCCCTTGCATTTTAAGAATCCATGGCAGATAGAGTGGACAATCACGCAGCCCTTGTTTGGCTCCCTAAGTGTTCCTAAATAACCCTAGAGCTATCCCTGCATTCACTGCTTCATAGCGATGCCTCTGCCATCAGAAAGGGCTCTTTGGGGTCCTGCTCTGACCCTAGGCCACTTCTCTGTGGCCCCTGGGCTTGTCTGAAGTTAACACACAAGGTTCCTGTTAGTAAAGTTCCGCTCTCCTCTTGGGGTTATTTCAACTTCTTCCATTACTAGAACCTAGGCCATAGACCCAAGGCCCAAGTGATGGCCCCACTGATGGCAAGATTGTGGAGGTGGATATGGTATGTACGATGTCCTCAGTCACTCACCCTGTTCATCTCTGGGCTTTCAACACTGGCCTCTTTTACCCACGTATTGTCCCTTAAAGGAAACAGCAGCTGACTTATTTTTTCCTTAGAAGAGTCTGGTTTCAGAAGCTCATCTTTGGAGCCTGGAGAGTGGATACCTGCTGTGCCCCAGGTGCCTACTATGCTTTCTTACTGGTTCTGCCAGTGAGAGGGCAGTCTCTCCTAATCATGATTTTGAAGGTTTAGCAGAGTTCAGCTGTACAGGAGCATACACCATTACTCTGAGGGGGCTTGGACGCTTAATCTTGCACAGTGTGGTGGGAGAGGTACTGGGAAAGCGTCCTGATCTGTCTCAGCATTTGCTCCTCACCTCCATTTCTCTGGGTTGAGGCATGCCTTCCCCAAATCTTAGTTTTAAGCCTCTCCTGGGAGGCCACTGGGATGGGCACATAGAGGGGCCTTCGTGGGTACTACCAGATGGCTCTGTACCTGCTTCACAAAAGGGCAATGGGAGCAGGTGGCTATCCTAAAGACTGTCCCCCTTGCTCCTCTTCTCACAGCTGACACGTCTGAAAGTGGAGGCTATCTTTCCCATGTTTAGAGCAAAGAAGGAGAAGAGCTGGAAGTCATCAGGGTGCTGTTTTTGCCAGTGGAGCCCTTGAAGTGGAGACAGGAGAAAAACAAAGAAACTCATGTCATTTCCCCAGGGCCCTGAAAGAGGTCCCTTTCACAGCCAGGAATGTGACAGGGAGTGAAGTCAGCCAGAAGGCTGTCCACAAAGGGTGGGGTGCCAGCAGCCCTGGGCTGAGGGTCGGAGATGCAGAGCCAGGGATGGGGCTAGAGCTGGGGGGATCTGCTGCCACCCACATCCCCAAGAAAGATCAATGAGCCTTCAGAGAGAGCTGTACCCCAAGGCTCAGAGGGCCCTAAGGCATGGAAAGACACACATCTGAGTAGCTACTTATAGTCTACTAAAGGAATCCAGCAGATGTTCCCTGGAGAACAGTTTCGTGGTATCCACGTAGCAATGACACAGATTGGCCACAATTGGTGGGGAGATCATAGGGAGGAAAAGAAGGTCAGAAATAGAGACATGAAGAGCAAAGAAGGTCCCAGGGAGATAGCCAAGGATGGGAAGCAGGCTCAGGCTGAGAAGCAGAGCTGGGGAGAGAGACCAAGCAGAAGAGGGTCAAGGTTGCGCTGAGCAAGCTCAGCCCCAGCACAACAGGAGGCCTCTGACAGGCCAGCACAGGCACCATGCTGCTATTACTTCAAGAGGCTAGATCCCACAGCGCATCCCAACCACATCAGGGCCAGACGGCCCTGACCTCTGGCTTCATTCTCAGCTCAGCATGGCCCCCAGGAACCAGGGGAGAGGAGGGGAGGGGAAAAGCACGATTTCCTTACATATCTTCCTTCCTCACCCAAACTGCATTTAGGGTTCCCTATATCACAGCCATGACCACATCACAGAGCTCTGGTCCCATCTGCTCCTTCTTGTTCCTCTGTTCCTCTGAGAGAGACTAAGGCATTCCTCATCCCCAGGCCCTGCTCTGAGTCCCAGCAGGATGAGGAGAGCTGCCCAGACTCTGCAGAGCAGGCATGTAGGCCTAATTCTACCAGCAGCTCTCTTTGTAGTACTGAGCTCACCCTAAACGGTCAGGGACTCAGTGTGCCCATTTGTAGAACAGGGAGATAAACCCTGACCTCTCACCCCACAGACACAGTGGGGTCTAACATGACACTATAGCTTCTCAAGCACCCAGGAAGCAAAAAAAGGCAATTTGAAGCATTCCAGGAGAAGGGCATCCCTTGGGGGATCTTCTGCTGAAAATGTTGAATCCTTCACCAGCCTAAGGGTAGACTGAGCCCCCCCAGATCCAATCGCCAGCGTGTGCTCTGGGAAGAGCCAGGACCCACTCTGCACACAGTCCCCAGCACACACCCCTCTGTTCCTGACACTTGGGTGGGCCAGGGCAGTGTGGGGCCCATCCTCAAGCAGCCTGAACCCTGGGCCCACAGCCTGCCAAAGGGTTCTACCTTGTCTCAGTATCCAACTAAACCTGTTCCTGAGTCTGAAGATCTGCCGTGAGATCCTCTTAGCATCGCTCTGAAGCCCAGGCCTGGACTTCACTCGTGATCTCTTCCCAGAGGCCCAAGCTCCGTCCAGTTCCCAGATTAATGGCCAAAGCCCCTCCCTGCTCCCAAACTCCTCACTGCCTCCCACCTACAGCTCCTCCAGACAACTCGGGCTCTCACTAGCAGGTGAGCCCCATGCCGGCCTGATCTTGTCTCTTGTTCACAGATGTTCTCTTGTCCCAAGTCTCTCGAGCAGTACCGGCACAATAGAAATGCTTGATATTTGTTGAATGAATAAATGAATGAATGAATGTGCAGAGGCCTGAACTCACTATAAAAGGATGGCAGAGAAAAGGGAGCCCAAGAATGAATGGGAAACAGAAAATGAAAGACACTGTGGGGCAGATACCTGCAGTCCATCCTCCCTTCCCTCACCACACATTACAGCCTCATCTGTCTCTCCAAAATGAATCAATCCATCACACAGAGAACAATCTACTTCCAGCAGCCC